TTGCAAAATTGTCAAAATAAATTATTTTTTTCAAGATATGTTAAAAAAAAATAACATTTTGAATAAAATATTTTATAATATAGACACTTTTCTTGTACACATCCTATACTTTATAAGAAAAAAGAAACAAAAACCTGGAAATTTTAAGATTTTTATCTGGAAAACCTGGAAAAATCAGGGAAATTTGAAATCTGATTCGAGTGGCCACCCTGCATAAGAACAAACAGATAAAAAATTTTAGCAATAATAGCCAGGGGGGAAAATGATCAAAATACTACATATATTTACGATGGAATCTGTGCACATTATGAACAATAAAATGAAGACTAGAATGCGTTGTTTGAAATTTTCATTTGCATAATATATAAAAAATATTCAATAGATTTTATTCAACCAAATTTATAATAAAAAGGGGGGTGAAACTGTACTATATTTATTAAATAATTTATTATGCTATAGATCTAAATTTGTAACAAAATCTCCACTCACAGTCATATCTAAAGTGAACTACCTTAAACTTTCATGATTTTGAAATATATATATATTTTTTTTATATTATCCATTTGAAATATTGCTGAAACCAGTCATTATCAAATACAGGGTTGCCACTCCACAGGGAAAACCTGGAAAATACAGGGAATTTAAAAATCATCTAAAATAGCAGGGAATTTTGATTCTTTCTTTACAAACTGGGAAAATACAGGGAATTTTGTTTCTTATTTTTGTCTTTTAAAAAATGGTGACTACTCAAAGTGTAATCTATGGGATATTTAACCATGATATTTCAGCTATACTAAACTATTTCATTTACTGTAGCATTATATAAGTATGTTCAGCTGTTTTTCCAGCAATTAAAACTAATAAATATAGTTTGCCCTATATAGCTCACACAAGAGCACAGTAATTGTTGTTTCCTCTTAATATATTGTGCATAATATGTACAGGGAAAACACAGTGAATTTTTTTTTTCAGATTTGAGTGGCAACCCTGAAATATTTATTTAACAAATGAGAGTAGAAAAATCACAAGCATTTCTTTCCCATCTGATGCTTGAGATATTCATCTTTTGAATATAATTTTGCAGCAAAAAAACACATTTGGTGTTTAAATTTTTTGTATTATCAATTATGCTAATGAAATGTGTTAATATGCAGTGCTGATGACTTATATAAAGTTAAGCATAATTGGATCTGTTAGGGATATTCTCATGTTGGTGCCTGTTTGTATAAATTGTTTGCTAAGTTAGACAGTCTGGTTCATGTGTATAATGACTTGTCTGAAGATTTTTGCAAATTATATCTTTCAATTTTCCTCAATTAGTGTTTTTTTTTATTATTATTTTAGGTTGTGGGTAAGTTTAAAGACATTTCTGCCGCAGGTACCAATAAGGAAATCCTCCTTTACTTATCTTTTGTGCTACTTCGTTAACTTTCAATATTTTTTTCCTCACAAAGTTCAATTGTTAAGCAATAAAAAATTGCGTATAGTGTATCAAAAGTAAATTTCGAGGTCAATCAAATAGGGTTGCCACAGGCGACTAAAATGCAACTATTTTTGACATGAGGCGACTATGGCAACATTTTTTGCCTGAGAAGGCGAAAAAAAAGCAACTATTTTCAGGAAAAGGAGACTACTGGAAGACTTTTCTGTACTCTTAGCGATGTTTTTTTTTTAAAGCATAAATTGGGTAGAAACTCTTTACCCCCCAAGATAGTTTCTGGACAAACTGAACTTTTTTTTTTCTTAAAAAATTTCAAAAATTTTGAATTGCGAATTTAAGTCTTCACTTTTTAATTCGTTCAATCTGCACAGACTCCATTGTAAGTCTATTTCATTTCTCGGTTGCCTTTTTAATGATTATTGCTACATAATTCCGCATGATTTTTTTTTAAAAAAAACTTTTAATAAGATATTACGATGCGTGAAATTCGAATTTGAGTAATCACTTTTCATATATATATATATATATCATGGCATATGACAATTAACTCATTAACAAAATTTTAGTCACATTTTTGATGAATTTTTGTTTTTATTTAAGCAACTATTTTGTTCATTTTTTTCTGTGGTAACCCTGATCAAATAATAATTTTATGTGTGCCCTAAAGAAGAAGAAAATTTTGACCCTTTTCGCAAATAGACTAATTTTTAAAAATTTAACTGTGTGCTATTAACTAATAACAAAAGAAAAGCTATTTTGCTGTTTAGAAAAGTGTACTAGCAGGGCTCGAAATTAACGATGGTCCGTTGGTCCGTGACCACTAAAATCGGAGTCGGGCCGGCATAAAATAATAAACAGTGGTCCGCCGGACCACCATCCGCCGCAGCCGATCTCCGTTAATCTATTCTCGCAGCCGATCTATTCTCGATCTTACGAAACTTAAACGATCTTACTTAAAACTATTTTAGAGCTTATTCACAATTTTTTTTTAAANAGAAAAATTTGACCCTTTTCACAAATAGACTAATTTTCAAAAATTTAACTGTGTGCTATTAACTAATAACAAAAAGAAAGCTATTTTGCTGTTCAGAAAAGTATACCAATATAAGACTAATTGCAATTTATTTATTCTTCTTTATAATCAAGGTCCATAGACAGTTAAATCTGTATTTTACGTTTGGGTTAGGGCTTTCGATTGACAAGATTAAAAATTTTACCCAGTAATTTTATTAGCTAGTTATTTTAAAATGCTTCATGGTTTTAAATAAGTAAAAGCTGACATTTAATGTGTAAGAAGTAATTTATAAATAATAATTTCCTATAGTCTTATTAATTTGGTGTTGTCTAATATTATACATTAATTTATTTTGCCTAGGTCTTGCAAGTTGCCAGTGCAGCCAATGGTCAACCAATTATGGTACAAGGTTTACCTCAAGGTCACACAATTCAAATCCAAAGTCAACCTGGACAACAGGTGCCTCAGGTCTGTTAATAAAACACTTATGAAATTTCTTACATGTTTTAAGCTTCAGCAGAACTTTGAACAAATGAAGCAAACCTCTTTCAATAGCTGTGTCAAAAGATTCTTTTAGGGGGGATTTCGTTTTGCTAATAGTGCCATTAAATGTAAAATTTTAAAACAAACTAGTAAAACTATCTTTATTTTTAAGATTACTATTAATTGACAATTAATTACTTTTCAAAAAGATAAAAATCCAATATTATCAAGTTTGAAGCCAAGCATTAAAATATAGTAGTTAGTTTTATTGACGCTTTCGTTGAGCTTCTGAAATGCATATCCAAACTGATTGTTTGTCATCTGTTTTCAGTTATATGATTTAAAAATCTGTGTCTAAGTAGCTTAAATTTCATTTACTTGACTAAAACCAAATTTTATTTTTAGTTGTGCTGCACTATTTTTAATACTTGTGTGGTCTTATAATGAGTAGAAAATAAAGTTTGAATTTCTTTATTATTAAATACAGGGTATCTGCGCACCTGGAAAGTCATGAATTTGGGTATTGAACAAAATTTGTCATAATTTTAACTATTTTTTTAAAAAAATCATGGAATTTGGTAAAATAATCGAACCAAAAAATCCAATTTTAAAATTGGAATTTACCCCCCTCCTAATTTCATTGTGTTCCGGATATCTGAGTTTGTAACAAAATCCCCACTCACAGTCATATTTTATTAAAATATAAAATATTTTATCATGTTCTTTAAAAATTATGGTGTTCTTTCAAAAAATGAAAGAAAAAACATTTCTAGAGCGAATTATCTTTTAAACTGTGATTTCAGAATTTTTGTTATTATTTATTCTTTTAATTTTATCAAATTCTAGCAGAAGCAAGCCAGTCATTGGCGAATTTTTTTTATTCCGAAATGAGAACAGAAAAATCATGAGTATTTCTTTCTTTTCCGAGGAGCAAGAAAAGTATCTTTAGAATATAATTCTGCAGAAGAAAAGGAGTTATTTGCTTTTGTATTTTTTTTTCTGCTATTGCTTCAACTCTTTCTTAACTCAGTTTTTTAAATTTAAAATCTAAAAATATGAAGATGCAAAGTATAACAGTTTTAGTTATACCTATCATTTCAATTAATGTTATTATAATGCTTTTTTAAATTTATTGTTGTGTTTTTGTCGGAGAAAATAGTAACTTGGTTAAGTCATGAAAAATTCTTGAAATTAGTCATGGAAAGTCAGGAATTTGAAAATCTATAATGTAGCAGATACCATGTAAATATTAATATACATGTAATAACTTCATAATAATTTAAAACTTTTGAAAACGTTTTTTTAAAAATTCAATTACATTTTTTTTAATGCAAACAAAATGTATAGTTAATTTCTTGTTCATTTTATATTTTCTATTCAGCTCTTTATACTTATAAAAATGCTGCTTTAAAAGTTATGCTTACTGCTTTGAAAGTTATTATTTTTTCTGATGTTTGTAAGAATTTTGAAATTGGAGATTTATTAATATGTAGATTTTTTTTTGAATTGCAGCAGCTTAATAGTTTGATGCTTTAAATTACAATGCGTTATTTATTCGTAATATGCCCAAACTAAATAAAAAAAATTTATCAATATTTTTTTATAAAGGTAATAATTTAAGAATTATAAACTAATGACAGATTTTTATGTACTTAAAATAAATATATGTAATTATTTAAACACTTATGTAATATTTTATTTTGTCTTTATTTTATCTGCCTCATTTATACTATTTTGTTATATGAAATTTTAGATGAAAAAAGTAACAAAATTTTTAAAATTTCAGATTCAAGTTATTCCCATTGGCTCGTTATCTGGACAACAAGGTCAACCTCAGCAAGTAAGCAGATTTTATTTATTTATATTTTTTAAAGCTAAATTTAGTCTGAATTTTAAAAATATACATCCATGGTGCAATGCATTTATTTTGTGTTTAAAATTTTATTAAATGTTTTATGTTTAGAGGAATGCTTTAAGTTTAAAGATCTTAAAAAATGTCTTTTATGCATGTGCTTTGTTTGTATTTTATTGTAGTTAAAGATTATAAAGTTACTACTCTATGGTACTATATTACTATGCCAACTTTCTACGCTTTTTGAGAAGTTTCTTCTTGTGGTAGTTAATGTTTTGATTTAATGCATTATTTATAATTTTGTAAATTTAAATTAAGGTTATTTTCAACTCTGCTTCATGAAAATGATTCAAAGGTTTATAAGAAACTCAACTTTGTTCTAGATCTCTTGTGGTGAGGATTTCAAATGAGATTTTTAATTATCCTTTCTCTCTATAAAATATTTTGCAAAAAGCAAAGTAGTTGGCAGCCCTGTAATTACGACTAAAAAAAGTTTTTTAGAGCTTAATTGAGGTGGGCTTTTTTTTTTTTATAATTAGGATTTATTTTTTGAGGAGGGGATTTAGTTGGGAGTTATTTTGATTAGAGGTAGAAAAGGCAAATATATAGTATATCTTAAAGATAATAAAACCACGCGGCTTCATATCTTTTTTTATTTAGATAAGAAATAGCCTTAAAAAATTTCGAAATTTCAATAAATTAATTTAAAAACTCTTTAAAATTTAGTCCTTTCAGAAAAGCGCCAACTGCGCTTACTCAGTATACACAAAATGAAATGGTGTTTAACAACATTTTCTTATTAGTCATACTTGTAATTAGAAAAATAATACCGAACTTAAACCAGCCAGCTTGCAACATTGAATGCACATTTTCTACAGATAGACTTATTCAATCCAAACTCAAGAACATTTTCTATCTAAAAGAACTAAACAAAAAGTGGTTATAGACATGATTGAATCAAAACCAGGAGCTTTTTTTTTTTTCCTACTTAGCAGATGAGGCAACCTTGCCTGTAATTAATTATGTTCATGCAGCACATAGTATCTTGAGCAGATTCAGAAACTATTAATTGCCTTTAAATAAAAAGAAGTTTCTGCTCTAAAGAGTGCTAAAACACCAGACATTCAGATTGGTGATTTGTGCAGATAGGCTTTAAATAGATTTCTAATTTTTTTTTTTTATTCCAGATAATTATACAACAACCTGGACAAAGCCAGATTCTTCAAACTTCAGATGGACAAACTCTTGTTTACCAGCCTGTTACAATTGATGGAACAAACTTCATGCAAACTCAAGGAGGTAATTGTTTAATTCATTATATTTCTTACCTGTACAAAAAATGTTTCTCAAAATGTTCCAGTTGTTAAATAATGTAATTAGAAAAAACGTCATTAAAATATATTTTTTCTTTTGTAGTTGATATACAATTGAAACAAAAAACTTGTTTTAAATACACCATTTTTTTTTATAATTTCTTTTCATTTTTATGTATACTTTTCTTGAAAGTATGCAAAGATTAATTTTATTCTTTTCATAATATGCATTGGAGCCCAATATCCCTTCATGCATCACAGTATGTCCTTTCCAGCTGTTGTACCTTTTGAATTCAGCTTGAAATTCAAAATTTGTGCTGTATTATGTTAATACATTCTAAATATATATTTTTATAAAGTTTATTAAGGATATAGCTGTAATGTTATGAGTGTGTTACAAATTTTATCTTGTGTGTAAGAAATGATGAACTAAAGGCGAATATGAAATGCTTGAGTTTTGCTTTTGCATTATTCGCATCAATGAAATAAAAATTGTTCTGATCTGTTAGTGAAATAATATAACTAGATGTATCTTTTGTCAATTATCACTCATGTTAAACTGAGTTCAGTTTATTTCAAATTAAACTTGTGCACATGATATGATAAACTAAAGGAGAATATGAAATGCATGAGTCGCGTTTTAGCTTGATTCGAGTGATATGAATTTAAGTTTTGTTTTACATTAGGATTTTCATAATTACCATTCATTTTACATATCTATATTTTTACATTTGCTATAATGTCCTCTTTCTTTCTTTTTTCTTCCGAAAGTTACTAATATTAATTAAGGTATTCTATACTTTTATTTGATCAAGAGTTTCGTGTTTTAGCAAGCTTCATGTTGGAAGTTTTCCACGGTACACATCTTTCTCATTGCTTAACCAGTTAAAATACTTTTATTAAAGTGAGAAAAATTGTCTCAAGCTGTTGCAAATGCTCAGTTGGTTGAGATTGTATTTTGAAATATTCTAACAAGTACTAATTTAAATTGTATATTTAATTTATAAAAAAAAATTGTTGTGTAGATATGCGTCAGTGTTGTATTCTGATCATCAAGGATCAATCCCTAAGTATTGCCATCAACCTTTTTCATCATAGTTTTAGTGTAACATTAACGACCTTAAAACAAGGCTTATTATTATTTTGTAAAATGGGGGGCATGATAGTCTGGTTGGTAGGACACTGGGCCCATGTCCAAGAGGTCGTGGGTTCGATCCTCGTCGGCCGAATACTCCCCGTGTAGTAAATAGTGACTGATGCATGTTAAATCTGACGAGTCACAAAGTCCTCCATGTTCCCATAACAAATCATACCTCTGGGGGTACTGATCCAGGAGTTTCCTTGTCTTCTACATTTGTTCAAAATTACAAAACTATGGAGTTGAACATTAGTAGTCGAAAACCCAAAATTGGGTCGACTGTTCAACAGCGGTTATAAAAAAAAAAAAATTGGAAAATGGGGGTGAACTGGGTTCGAATCCCAGCAATGGCTGGCTGATGCAAATTCCTCACCCGGTTTGCACCGACCACAGTGCTAACTCCCCTTGCAGTCGGGTGTTATCGTGGTTTTCTTCTCCATGCAATTCAAATTTCTCCCAATACTTGATCCAGAAGTAGTAGCCGTAAACCCTAATTTGGATTGGCCTTTCACGGGCGGTTATAAAATAAAATATAAAATTTTAAATTCTATTGGGAAAAAAAAGGTTTAATCAAATTGGATTAAATATAAAAAATAGTTCATTCATTTTGAAAGAAATTATATAGTTTACAAATGGCTTAAAGAAAAATTCTTTGATAAATCCGTACATCATGAGTATATGTTAAGATAAAATCTTTTTTTAAATTTTATTAGCTTTGTTTTTCTAGTTAGCAATAAATCAATTACAAAAAGATGTGCACTATGTTCAACCTGTTATATGTTTATTTCCTTTTAAAATGAAAATAAACTAACTTTCTCCTTTTTAGGTATTATACAGATACCATCTGTTTCTGTAGCTGCTCCTGCTCCACAAGTTGTTCAAACTGCAACCACAACTGCTGCTAGTCCAACTCCCCAAACAATTACAATTCCTTCTAATGTTCCTCAGGGCAATATTGTGATGGTAAATACTTTTTTTTTTTTTTTTTTTTTAATTTCATCTTATTGACAACTTTTTTGTTTAATTTTAAATCTATTGTGATGGGTTTTATACTTTTTTTTAACTAAAAGTATAGCACTAATTTCATATCTGCTTTTTAGGGCTGTTGTGTAATGTTAAAACTTACTTTCCAATTTTGCACGCAACTTGAAATATAATTTGCAATTTAAAAAGCATCTTATCAAATTATATTTCGCCTTTAAGTCAAGTTTTGAAATAAAATTAGATATATACGGACACTTTTTAGCTTGCAAATTATTGTAGAGTGCTAAGCTAACATTACCAGAAATATGAATACAGTTTTTCTATATATCAAAATTATATTTTTGATTTTAAAGACTGATTAATGTAGACTGCTGAAGTCTAGGTTTTTCTGAGCGGTACCTATTTTGTGAAAATTTAGACATAATTTGTGAAAAATTATATTGAAAATTCAACAGAAAAATATAGTAAAAATATGAATTTATCGTTTCTTAAGGGATACAAAAATAAAAATTTTGTGAAACTATCAATTTTCGTAAAGTTGAATTTGTGAAACTAGCGTTTTTCCTAAAGTTGAATTTGTAAAGGTACTGCTAAATGGTAGTAAATTAAGCCTGGGCAGACCCCTCACTAGTATCAATTAAGTACACCATATTACAATCTTAACCAGAAACTCAGCTGGGATTGTAGCTCCTTTGTGAAGTTTGCAGCTTCAAATCACTAATTAATGATTAATTTCTAAGAATAATAATTAAAAAAACAAAACAAATTAGCTCAAACTATGATGAAGGTGTTCAATCCTTGAAGCCGGATGAAGCAGAACTTTAATGAAATTTTAAAAAGCTGCAGACAAAAAAGCATCAGATCTTATTTCCAAATGCATTTAGAAAATAAATGCTATGGTAAAAACAATTATTCATTTTTTAAGGCCTTATGCTGAGTGCCTAAGTCTACCGAGCCCTTTTCAATAGATGCACTCTTTATAATAAGAAATTACTAGATGTTTTAAATAAAGTTAAATCAACTATCAGATCAAAATATTATAAAACGTAATTTTAGGAAAAATCATTAATATAAATTTTTTCTGGTTTGTATTATTTCGTATTCAATAATTTTATTTTGAGATTTTTAAAGTCAGATCAAAATTTTTCTTTGCCCAAATACATATGTAACACCATAAAAATTGATCAAAAAGTGCAATATATCATAACTGAATTTTATCATCAACAATTTTTAAATTACCCTCTTATACTATTTGTGTATGTATTTCAAAAAGTAATTAGTATCTCTAATTTTCAAAATAAAAGAAAAATTTGTAGTTTATAAAAATAATTGAAGGCATACCAGGGGTCTGTCCAGGCCGAATTTACTACCGTTTAGCGGTACCTTCACAAATTCAACTTTAGGAAAAACGGTAGTTTCACAAATTCAATTTTGGAAAAACGGTAGTTTCACAAAATACTTTTTCTTAAAATTTCATTTTTGTGTCCCTTAAGAAACGATAAATCCATATTTTTGTGTTGATTTTTTAATATAATTTTTAATTTTTCACAAATTACGTCTAAATTTTCACAAAATAGGTACCTGTCAGAAAAACCTAGACAGACCCCTGCATACTAAAAGGCAATTAAAGTAACAAAAAATAATGAATTGATAAACAACTTCAAATATTTTTTTAAATATTATTTAAAAAAAATTATTTTAAAATAACTTAAATATTTATTAATGTCTGCCATAAAAAAAAATTATTATTTAAGTTTTTCTTTTTTCGACGGATGATAGATTGTCTAAAACACTACACATGATGCTCTATTTAAAATACGAAAAATATTATTTGTGCAAATACTTAAATGCATTTTTTTAGATTTTCAATACGACAGTTTTGCCCATAGTTAAAACTGCCACATATCAAACACTTGCTCTACCTATGTACTTAAGAACTAGAAGAAAACATAATTAGTAATTCTTTATTGATTTAGTTTTAAAAGCATTTATTAAAAGTTAACTCTAACAATGTTTTATTATAACATTGCAAAATTAGAGTTATTGTAAAGCATGTTATGGAACTTTTTTTTTATTATGTTAGCAAGTTGTGCCTAATGCTGCTGGAATTAACACTGTTCAACGAATACCATTACCCGGTGCTGAACTGTTAGAAGAAGAACCACTTTATGTCAATGCAAAGCAATATCATCGAATTTTAAAAAGAAGGCAAGCCAGGGCTAAACTAGAAGCTGAAGGTCGTATACCTAAAGAAAGAAGGGTAATTAAATTATTATAATAGCTGACAAAAAAAAACATTTTGCTATAAATGTTAACTTCATTATTGTTTGCAATGCTTTTTATCTTTTCCATTGCTTTATATGCAGTTATTAGTACTAATATTAAATAATGAAGGGTATTTGTTTCAGAATAATGATTAAATATGTTTCAATTTTAAAATTTGTTGCATAAATTCATTATCTTACCTACCTAATGATTAGATCATTATGAATTTATACAAATTTTATAAATTAGTAACCTAGTATTAATTTTAAAATATTTATAGAAATTGTGTGCTTCCAAAAATTTGATAATGTGTGTGTGTTTTCCAAAATCTGGGAAAACATTATTTGTCAACATTAAATTTATTAAAATCTTTTTAATGTTATTTTTTTCTAATTTATCATCAACACAATGATGGTAAATGACAAAAAATAACATTTTAACTCACAAAAATATTGTGTTGAAAGATCTTGCAAGTTTTGAAGATGCATTTCATCTTTAATGTACTATAAAATAGAAAAAATGGTAACCAATAGAAAGAATGATAGCCATTACTGATGAAGGTAAGCAGTCTAAAATAAATGGAACATTAAAACTGTATCTGCCAATAAGAAAGTATTTTAACGCCATTTCTTTCATTTTTTTCTTCTAAATATTTACCACTCATACGTAAGTGCAGAACAGCAGTCATCCTTTTATCATTAATAATCTGAAATTGATTTTTATGTACGGCAGTTATATTTGCAGTCCTTGTGTTATCTCTAGTCAAGTTATGGATTTATTTTTTGTATATATGCATAAGCTGAAAATGAATAGAATAACCCAAATTATGGTTTACTTCAAAATAAAAACTTAAAAGAATTGCTATAAATGTTGAAAATGGTTATTAAGGAAACATTCTTTTTATTAAAAAATTAGGGATTAAAAAGCATAATAGGAAATACTATGCAATATTTTATAAATGCTTGCTCTTTTCATAATTTATTCAATATATTTCAATTGGAAATATTATATTTTCTTTTTAAAAAATTCCATTTCTATTTCATTGGTTTTCACTTACAATAATTTCTAAATGACAACCGAGAAATTAAATGAATTGTGGGTAATATTTGAATATAATCGGTAGTTTCAAAACTCCATTGGTTATCAGCAACTGGTTTTAAATGCTAACCCGCAGAACCCCGAGAACTCTTCCAAGGAACACTGTTAGGGAGCTGCAGGTTTAGAGAATAAATTTAATACTAAGTGCAAAAGAATTTTAAAAAATTTGCATAGTTTTTATAAAATTTACTGAAAGTTCTGATAGATTGAATTCCTGATGAATCGATTTTTATTTTTAAATGAAAATAAGTAGATTTTTGAATAACTTTTTTTTTAAATATAAATTTCAGTTTAAATTGTGGTTACTTCAGCTTGTTCATTAAATTGGTTTTACTCTTAATTAATGAAAGTTATTTATTATAAAAAATAACTGCTTGTTATATTTGACATAGTAATATTTAATATACTTGTTTTACATAGTCTTGTAATACTGTGTTGACTGCATAAGTTGTTTTGCGTTTAGAAATATTTACATGAATCCAGACATCGTCATGCTATGAACAGAGTCAGAGGAGAAGGCGGACGGTTTCATTCTGGATCTTCCAAAGAAGAAATGTTAATGCACCATCATCACCACTCTAAACTCTCCCAAGATTCTCAAACTAACACAGATTCTGATGGACTTGGTGGAGGGAATGGCATGTCAGATTTATCAGGATTAGATGTGAGTATAACTTAGTAATTTAATTGCATGTGCTTATATATAGCTTAATTCAAGTGTCTGTAAATCCCAAGCGTGCAGTAGCCAGAGAGAACCTTTGAAAACTGAAGGTGGCAGAAAACTTCCTTTGTAAAATTCAATAAAAAAAGTTATTATGCTGCTTTTCATTCTAGAGGAATCATAAGATGCTGGCTCCTAGACTGTTTATTTTTCTGTAAGCTTGTTAAAATGTTACTCATTATCATTTTAAAATTGATATTCAACCTTCTTTCAAACCCAATTTGTATAAAAATCGTTGATACTTTTTGAAAAATTTATACTTATTTTAAAACCTCTTTTTTTTTATTCGTTTTTATTAAATCAGTGCATAATTTAGTTTATGTAAAGTACAGTACTCTTTATGAAAAATATAACTGGAACAACTTTTGATGTATTAATCAGATTTTCTGAATTAACATTAAATATTAAGGTTTTAAAGGTAAGTTTTAAATATATGTTAATTCCATCGAGCAAATGATTGAGGTACAAAATCAGATATTGAGATATATTTTTAAAAAATGGTCATCTATTTCTGAAACTGATCCGTTACTTTCAGGCATCTATTACAAATCTATATTTCATAAACTTTAGAAAATTGTATTTATTTCTTTTTATCCTAAACCATTCAACATTTGTAAAAAAGTGAAATTATGATTTTTTAAAAAAAATATCTTAATTTTAATTCTATCTGTAATTTATAATGAATGATTAACATTAGAAAAAAAAGTAGTTTCTTAAATGAAGGTACGGATAAGGGATTTATGCATATAAAGAGAAATACACAATTCAAGGTATTGGTGCTTACCCTTCCAATGTTAAACTAAAATTATAAATTTTGAGTGTTCTCATTCCTTGGGGGGGGGGACTAGTCTTATAAATATTTCATCTAAAGAATTTGTTCAGTATAAATTAATGTTTTGATTTTGAAATCATAAAATTTATTGCAATTCCCTGGGTAGCAGATAAAATTTTCTGTTAGTGAAAATGTATTCTGTCCATTTTTTCTCTGGTTATGCTTAGAATAATAGAAAATATGCAATTCTGGTTTCATTCCCACTTAGAGTATACGGAACTTTTTAAGCAAAAAGACACAAACTGTCATTGTTCCATGATTGGGACGTATCCATATCGCAATTTGTTTTTCAGAACTTCCACCAGAAAGGAGAATCGGAAGATCTGACAATTCTACCAACATAAAGACTGACATCCTTTACCATCTGAAAATAAAAACTTATTTGAAATGTAAGATTATGCTAATTTTTAAATGTTGTATGTTTGTCTGCCCCCATCTATAAAACCCTACTTTGATTCCTAAATACAGTACAACCTCAACTATCTAAACCTCTTTTAACACGAGTTAATTTTTTCATTCATTTCCAAAGTTTTAGTTTTTCCTGCATCTTATGTTTATATAGTTTGTATTAAAAATGACCTACCAAATGTGTGGTTTTAAATATTTTTTCAGATTTTTTTTTCAACAGCTTTGATTAATTATAAAAGTAAATTACAATCCATTCAACAACTGAAGATTTTAAATTAAAGATAAATTTTAATTTAACCCAAAATTTGGATATGAAGCTAAGCACCAATGAAATAGAAAAAACAATTTGTGTGGAACAAAAAAACTTTTTCTTCAAATTACTGTATGAGGCGTGCTTTTATAGAGCATGGTAAAATATATCTTTATAAATATTTTAAAAGTGGGTAATGTTGCTTGCCTCTATGACTTTGGTTCACAGGTGCCCACTGGGTAACGTGAAATGAGTAACAGTTCTTGCATCTTCTAAGGCGAAGAATAATGATCAGTGCCTGCCATTTGGGGAAATATATATATATATTTTAAAATAAAGACTTAAATAATTGTTACGGTGTTAACTTTAATAAATAAGTAAATTCATTAAGCTATTATTTCAAGTTTCAATTATTAAGTGCTAAGCTACAGAAAAATGAAAAAATAATTTGTTGGAGACAGATCTTCCATTCTAAATTACTGTAAACGGCATATTGTATGGAGTATTTTAAAATTTACTTTATAAATATTTTAAAGTGTAGAGATTAATTGTGTGGTTATAATTGCTTTAACTTTGTATAAAGACAATTGTAAGGATAAAGCTTCTTTTTTTCTCCATGGTTTATCAAATAACAATTGATGGTTATAAAGATGAAAATAGCTTAGGTTCAGTCCCAACTACTTTAGATAATGGAGGTTCGAATGTAAGTAAAATTAATGGCTGCTTTACGTTGTGTTTTATCAGCAAAAGAACNACTATGTATTGAAAAGTACTACAGAAGAATTAGTTTTGTTTAGTTAAAAGTTCCATGAGTACTGCCATGCCTAATAAAATGTTTACTCAATAAAAAAAAAACTATATATCTAGAGACTGTAACACTTAGTGAATTAAATTTTCATTTTGCATGATTTATTATGGCTTTTTAATGAAGCATATTCTTTTTTCATTTGTTGATTAGTGGAATTATAAAGCTGGCGAAGTTGTGAAAGTTGAAATCTGGGATGCATCTGAAAGTGGAAAAAAAATTAAGGTAAGTGCAAAGGTACGCCTTTTTGTACTTTTTTTTTACTATGACTTATATTACTTGTATTTCTCATTTTGGTTGCAATTTAAATATAAAAAAAAGAAACCTATGAAATATTACAAGACAGACAGGCACAGGGATCTATTTGCAATACTTTCCTATGTTAGAAGCACAATTAACATGAAAAGAATAAAATTTTTAATCTTAACAATCAATGTATAAAAGTAATATGAATATAAAAAACACACTTTTGTACAGGTGATAAAAATTGTAACACAATTGTAATATCGTAAAAAAAAAATTCTATAGTAGCGTGCTACTAGCAAATTGAAGAGTTTGATCTTTTATTTTTATTTATCAATTTCACTATTGCAGTCATTAACCAGGATTTCAGGAGAAATGTACAAAAACGAGTTGCTTTTTTATAATCAGAAAAAGTTATCATTTTTTTCTGATTTTGCATTACAACCTGTTTAATACAATCAATTACTTGTTGAAATCTAATACAAACTTTTAAACCCAAAATCGCATAAAGTAAATCATTATTTAAAATATAAAATTCAACTGACCTAGCTACATTTCCCATTTTTAAATTTAAAGTGCAAGTTTGGTTAAGTTGCAAATTACCTTTTGTTTGCTTTACATTTATAAAGTTTTTTCTTTTTGGACATTTAACATGATAGTTTTATTAGTCACAATCAGGTGTTTGTCATTTTCATTGTTTTCTTTTTTGTTTATGCTGGATTTGATTCTCAGCAGTAAAGAAATTTTGTTTGTTTAAACAATTTTGGTCCCAATGATAGGCATTGGTGATTCTTAGCTTATCACAATATTTACATGACTTAGGAGGTCGCTCCTGGAAAGCTTGGGCAAAATGACTTGTTTGTTGTTTATTTTTATTAAGTTTGTTACAATTGTTACAAAGTTGATTGCAATTTTGACTTGGCCAGGGAAAAGGTTAATTTTGGCGTAAATTATTATTATCATAATAATTTGAGCTAAGTTATTAATGAATGGCCGTCTAAGTGTCCAGCCTTGAAATTGTTGTCTATCTATATCCACTATATTTTGGTTCTATCACTTCGATTATTTTTATTTTGGGATAAGAAAGTAGAAATACCATGAATAATTTTGGAAACTATTGTGAGCCATTCAATTAGGGTTTTGTGCTCCTATAGAACCAAACGTTAAACCTAATTTGTGGGGGCAATCATATTGACAAACCCTCATAATGTAAATAAATAATATGCTCATTACTTAAATTTAATTTTCGACATAACTCTATCTTTTTGGTAAAATAAGTGTGGGTCTTTTGCTGGGCTAAAAAGTTTTACATTTTGAGAATCATTAAAGCGAAATGGAGGTGAAAAATAATGCTTTTGAAAAGTTTTGACTATTTCCTGAAAAGAATCACGATTTAAACGGTTATTTATAAATAATTTTAAAGCTGAGCCTTTTATGATTTTTGGAAAATTATTAATTTTCCACTCTTCATTTAGTTTAAAATCTAGCAATCTTTCATTTAATTAGAAGCTGTGAACTGAACACCAATGTCCGGCTCAAATATTAATATGTCTGGGTTTTTCTTCCGGTTTATCTAGATTTAAATTTTGAGAACTAGTACTCAATTCACTTACCAAATTATTTGAATCTGTTATTACATTATAGGACTCTTCCATATTTAATTTATAATTTTTACCTCTACTTGGGCATTAAAAATAAATTTCTTACCTCTACTTGGGCAAAAAAATAAACAAATTCAAATAAATCTTACCAAATTATTTGAATCTGTTATTACATTATAGGACTCTTCCATATTTAATTTATAATTTTTACCTCTACTTGGGCATTAAAAATAAATTTCAATAATTAAATATTATATTTAGAAGTAGGAAAAATTTAAATTTTACCCATACAATCAAAAAATTATGCAAATTGTAACATATCAGCAATAAAATAGGCGATTTCTTCAAACTTTTTTATACTAATCAAAATTATCAATTTCCTAAGGGAAAAAAATGTCAATAATTGTAATAAATTTTAAAGTTATTTTCAAATGATTTGTAAGATGCAGATTATTTGTAAAAATGAAGAAATCTGTTTAACAATGTGAATAAGCTCAATATATAAAAAAAGAGAAAGAAATTTAGTAGCATTTTTTATCAAAGTCAATAAATATTATTGTTATTTAAACACCTATTACTTTTAGGATCAGAACATATTTCAATAATTTATTACTATTGGAACAAATGTATATATCAAAATAAATAAAATCATTAATTATCAATATAAACACTGGTAAAAGTTGTTTCAAAAAATTAAAAAACAATAAATCAAATTTAATACCACTTTCATTCCCCCAAAGTAAATTGAAATCAAATTTGACGCTTTCTTTAGTCACAAGATTTCACTGATAAAAATAATCATATTTTTCACTACAAATCAATTTCGAAAAGCACCGATCCTAATAAATTTTTAATTTATTGCTGTACCACTTTCTTCTGGAAGAATCACTTTAGTAAATATGAACTACTGCTATTTTTCATATTTGCAAACGTGAAAACTTTCACATTGATGACCATAAATTTATATATTTTAAATAACTTGCATTTTATTGAACCTGTACTCATTTCTCTCGGGTATCACATCATGTCGGCTTCAAAACATAAGTTGGCCGATCAGGACAGACAGGCAGAGGATTTAAGAAGAGCAAATTAAACTTTATTTAACCATTATAATCAGAGAATGAAAATCCAAGTGACACAAAATTAAAGTGCTCCTGAATAAAATAAAAAAATAGGCAAAATCCTGCAAACAAGTCAAATAATATGTTATGTCTTAGAAAAAAGGAACCTGAGTAATTATGATTAGGTAGGTAGAGAGATTAATATGGTTCTCACAGTTAGTAAAGAGAAAACTATAAAATTTTAATTAATGCATAACTTTATAAAAATAAAGATGTGAATAATAAAATGTGAGAAAGCGTTTAGCTTTAAATGCGTTTATATAAATTATAACTTATTGCATAAATTTTCTAATGATTTACAAACTAAGATTATTTATTATTAAAAATTTATTGTTTTATTTTGTTCTGAAATAATACTGAATAAAACAATTGCTTTGTTTCTCCTAGAATGCCAGAATAATTGCTGCTAACCTACTTCCAGAAGAATCAAATTGATTGTGCATGTCACATTGACTTTTTAACATATGACAACCAAAAGTGTAATTTCGGTCTTCAAGGTGAAAGATAGGAACTAATTTATTTGACGAATAAATTTTTTTTTTTTTTTGTAATGTCGTTGATGTAAAGAACTTGAACTGATTTAGTATGCAATTTCATACTAGTTTAAAAATCTCGTAACTGTTGCATATCATTCCATGTTTGAGTGAATTGCAGTGATATATAACTACAATAGTGAGAAATTATGATACACGTTTTAGGTGTATTTACTTTTCATGGCAATAAATTTTTCAATTGTGGTTTTTGAATGGGATTGATAAATCTTCTGATGATTTTTTTCCATGTGTTTATTTTAAATTAAAACTTTTTTTATGTAACTTAGATTGTAATGCATAGCTGCCAACTCTACTGGATTTAGTCAATTTTCTGCAAATCTTCTGGTTTAAATCAAGAATTTACTTTTAGAAAATTACCTAAAAAATTTTATTGTTTAGGAATATTTTTATTGTTGTTGAATATTTTTATTGTTTAGGCGAGAATTTAAAGCAGGTAAAATTACTAAATAAAATGAGACTTAAGTTTTTTTTGTTTCTTAAATTGTGTTTTAACTGTGATAACATGATGCGTTTGAAAATATAATGAACAGAATATACTTAAGTGGCTTTAAATTTGTATTTAATGTAATAGACTTTATTTATGTGTACATAATATTTCCTTATTGCAGTTATTTTTTAAAAAAATCCTTACATATGTGAAATATTTTGCGCAATGTTCGGCATTTTTTCTCTCAAGTTGGCAGCTATGTATTTTTTTTATTTATTGAAAGATTGGAAATTTTATATATATTTTATTGTCCAAAGAAATAGTGTTTGTTTTATTCTGAATCTAAAGTAAACTATGGCATCAATTAAGTCACTTTGTTGATGTAATATACAAATTTGTTCGAGATAGTTTACTTAATATAATATTTCATTTTAATTTTTCAAATGGATTCATGTTTTCTAAAATCCGACGTGCTTGTATTGACGTTTAAAAATATATATATATATTTTGGTAATATCTTGAAAACAGAACAATTTTCACAGTTTTCAAGGTGCTTAAAGACGTAACAAATCTTAAACATGAACATTTATAACTTGTAAATTGTAAAATAGTTTTCCTAATATTAGGTATTTTCTATGGTAACTTACGAAGATTTTGTTTCTCTGTAAAATAGTTGCTGTTAATAAGACAATAGTCTCGATTAATACGCTTAAATCAAGCCAATTTAATACTAAAAGTTACACATTTCTAACTTTAATAACCACATTTGTCAGCTTGTATGATTGAACCTTTAAAGACAGTGCATTAATTTCTGTGTAATTTTTGAAAATAATCTTTTTGTGTTACTAATATTTTCTGGCGGCTACTCATCGAAAATTTGAAAATCTTCTCTCTGTGCTTAAAGCTTGATTTAAACAATTTTATTTATGTGTTACTTGCCTAATTTTAAAACTTTGACAAATTACTTCTGTTCATGCTTTTCCTTTTAGTATATAGTATTGAAATAAAAGCTGTAACTATAATTGTGGAAAGTTGTTTTTTTCCCCTTTAAAAAGGAAAGTATGTATAAATTAAATTCCAGTGCCTTTTTTTTTTTTTAAATCTATGTATTGGTGAAAATTAAAGTAATAAATGTGTGCCCATTTGAAGTTATAATGTTTTTAGTAACGTTTTAAAAGAACAACAAAAAAATGAAGCTTATTGCTAAATTGTTCATGCACTACCCTATAATAATTGAAGAGACTCTTTCAGTTTTTGATATCATTTTTTATGGGTTTTATCTTATAACTTAAAGGTGTTCAAATCAAACGAGTTTTGGTACTTATCTATAAAATACCGAGGTTTGGGGAACCATTAATAAATTACGAACAAAAAAAGTGTTTTTAACACCTTATATCTAAATGTGCACACTAGGCCTAGGAACTGAAAGTGTCTCTTCAATTATTATGGGCTAGTTTATTTCAGTTTTTAGTGAACAAATGGTTTTTCCAGTGTCTTTTGAATTTCAACTGTTTCATAAACACAAACTTCTAAGATTTTCTTAACTAATTGATAGTTTTAACTGTTTAATAGAGAGTTGTTTAATGATCGACATGCTGAACAGTGCAAAATAAAAAAAATTTTGACATTCTTTAATTTTAAGCATTTGTCTAAAAGTTAATGGTATTTGTAATATATTTTGTATGAATTATATGTGAAAAGTTTAAAAATGTGTATCTTTTCATGTTAGAATGTGTTAATAGCTAAACGATAGAAGTTTTTTTTTGTAAATATTTTTCTTTAAAGCAGAGCATTGGTAACTGCAAAATATAATGAGAAAAAGAAACACCATTTGTAATATAATCTCCTTGTAAATAAAATTGTTTTAAAAATTTGTTCATTATTGACAATAAAACTATGTGTACATTACATCCAGACTAATCTGACAACATTATAAAAAAAAAAATAAAAAAAAATTGGACAGGCAGGTAATTTTTTTTTAATGGCTTACACTTCTCTACTACGAGTATAATTGAAGAGAAAGCCTAGGTGGCTCAGTGGATAGAGCGTTCGCCTTCCAATGAGATGAACCGGGTTCGAATCCCAGGCTTGCACCAACCACAGTGGTATATGAATCGTGGGTTAGAGTCCCCTTTCAGGCTTCCCACAGTCCTTAAAAACTGCTTAACTTTTATTTTGGAAAATAAGGGCCCTTAAAAGTACTTAAATTTTCAGTTCAATGTTTTAAAGCAAAAAGTTGTTCTTTTATCACCTGGAATTAGACCGTGCACCGAGAGTAAAGCATTTTAAAGAGACAAGAAGGGATGTGTGTGAGAGGGGCAAGAAGAAGAAAGCATGTCCTTTTATTAATACATTTCATTAATATATACTGCCTTTTGTTTAGAATGATACTCCATGAGAAGAGTGACGTTCTAAAAGAAAAGAATAGAGTGTGGACAAGGGGAATACTGCACAAGGAAGAGATAGTGCTTTTTTGAGGGGGGGGGGAGTTCTAAGGTACTGAAGTGGAAAACCCACACTGACCTTCAAAATTGACAAATTTCATTATTTTTGTTATTAATGTCTCTTAAAATAAAATTCAAACTTAGATTTTAATAATCATTTTTCTCAGTTAACATTGCAACTTAATATACTGTTGTTGTTTTTTTAAATTTCTATTCAACTTTTGGTTACTTTAAAATTAGTGTATGTTTTTCATCAGATTGTTTAGTAATATTATGTAAAGTTAATTCCTAACATCAGTTTTGGCTGGAAATAATTGTAAAGCTCATCATAAAAGTAAATATAACACATTTGCTGTTTTAATAACTTCAAAATGGTTAAGTTACATACCGTTTTCAATATGTTTTTCATAACATTTTTCAAAACTTAATTCATGATAAAAATAAAATATCAAATCATAATAATAGTAGAGGATGATAAAGAAATATTACAAGTAAATATTTATAAATGATAAAAAAATAAATAATTTATCAATATTTGTTAAGTAACCTTACCAATTTTCTGGCCATAGGAATGTGTTGATACATTTGAAAAATCATTTTGGACCCTTTGACTTATATGTTTCACCAAGAACTAATAAATAAAAAAATATATCGGTTTGAAAATCTTAAACATAATTGTATTTTTATTCTATAAAAATATTTATTGCAATGAATTTAAAAAAAATATATGTAAAGTTAAGCCTAATGAAAAAAAAAAAAGTGGAATGATTTAAGGTACTAAGATATTAGTATGACCAGTTTTTCCTTGAAATAGGACTTAATTTATCATGACATAGTTAAGAAAACTACTCTCATACATAACTCAACTTCATAGTATTAATTTTTTTAATATCTACTCTTATGAATGAAATGTTTTATTAATAGAAAAAAAAATTTTTTTTTGACTTAACTGAATATGTGATGCGTGTATAGTAACGAAATATAAAAACTTGTAATAATTTTTTCAATATTTTTCCAAAATTTCTTTATTTACTCTTCTTTTTTTTTAATATATGAAAAAAATTGCACATTTTAATTTCTGCACCTAATTTTACAATTCAATGAAATTATTAGAAAGGGAATACAGATAAGTTTCATAGATGTTAATCCTTAACAATCTGACAATGATTTTTTAAAAAAACACACCCAGGTTTGCAAAAATTGTCCAGTCCTAACTTTGGCGAGCCCCGTTAATTAAAACAATTTTATCAGTACTTACCAGGGCCGTAACTACGCCGGGGCCCCGACGGTCAAGGGGGCCCCATTTTCAAAATACAGTACTCTAATTATCCATATGTAGGAAAGAAATTGTGTTAAGATAGAGTTGCTGAAAATTTTCTTTTTTGTAATTACGTACCTACTATAACATAAAGGAAAGAGTTAAAAACGGTATAACAGCTTTTCGCGAATTATTTCCCTTTCTCATAAGAACTAACACGCTTTGCAGAGAAGGGGAAAGGCCATAGCTGCATGTAGTTGATTGTTAACACTTTCTGTACATTGCACTTCTGGTTTACATTGTTTCCTCTACTATCTAGCGTCAGACCCAGTGGCGTGCCAACCAGGGGGAGACAGAGGGCCCCTCTAAAATTTAAGTGATGGGGCAAACGATGCGTTTCTCCCCTCCTGAAATTTAGACACTCACAAAAATAAAGTAAAATCGGTAATTTAAAATAAAANATAGTGAGAAATTATGATACACGTTTTAGGTGTATTTACTTTTCATGGCAATAAATTTTTCAATTGTGGTTTTTGAATGGGATTGATAAATCTTCTGATGATTTTTTTCCATGTGTTTATTTTAAATTAAAACTTTTTTTATGTAACTTAGATTGTAATGCATAGCTGCCAACTCTACTGGATTTAGTCAATTTTCTGCAAATCAAGAATTAAATAAATCAAGAATTTAATTTTGGAAAGTCACCTAAAATGTAATTTTTTTATTTATGGAAAAATTTTAGATCATTTTATTATTTTTAATGTTTAGGTGAGAATTTAGAGCGGGTAAAATTGCTAAATAAAATGAGACTTAAGTTTATTATTTTTTTTTTAAAGAAAAATTGTGTTAGAACTGTGATAATATAATGAACAGAAAACATTTAAGTGGCTTTAAATTTGTATTTAATGTAATAGACTTTATTTATGTATATATAATATTTCCTTATCAGTTATTTTTAAAAAATATCCTTACACGTGTGAAATATTTTGCACAATGTTTGGCATTTTTCTCTTAAGTTAGCAGCTATGTATTTTTTTTATTCATTGAAAGATTGGAAATTTTAATTATTTATTTTATTGTCCAAAGAAATAGTGTTTGTTTTATTCTGAATCTAAAGTAAACTATGGCATCAATAAAGTCCTTAATTGATGTAATATATAAATTTCTTCGAGATAGTTTACTTAACTACTTAATATAATATTTCATTTTAATTTTTCAAATGGATTCATGTTTTCTAAAATCCGATGTGCTTGTATTGACGTTTAAGAAATATATATATTTTTTTGGTAATATCTTGAAAACAGAAGAATTTTCACAGTTTTCAATGTGCTTAAAGACATTACAATTCTTAAACATGAACATTTATAACTTGTAAATTGTAAAATAGTTTTCCTAATATTAGGTATTTTCTATGGTAACTTACGAAGATTTTGTTTCTCTGTAAAATAGTTGCTGTTAATAAGACAAAAATCTCGATTAATACGCTTTAATCAAGCCAATTTAATACTAAAAGTTGCACGTTTCTAACTTTAATAACCACATTTGTCAGCTTGTATGATTGAACATTTAAAGACAGTGCATTAATTTCTGTGTAATTTTTGAAAATAATCTTTTTGTGTTACTAATATTTTCTGGCGGCTGCTCATCGAAAATTTGAAAATCTTCTCTCTGTGCTTAAAGCTTGATTTATACAATTTTATTTATGTGTTACTTGCCTAATTTTAAAACTTTGACAAATTACTTCTGTTCATGCTTTTCCTTTTAGTATATAGTATTGAAATAAAAGCTGTAACTATAATTGTGGAAAGTTGTTTTTTTCCCCTTTAAAAAGGAAAGTATGTATAAATTAAATTCCAGTGCCTTTTTTTTTTTTTAAATCTATGTATTGGTGAAAATTAAAGTAATAAATGTGTGCCCATTTGAAATTATAACATTTTAAAAGAACAACAAAAAAATGAAGCTTATTGATAAATTGTTCATGCGCTACCCTATAATAATTGAAGAGACTCTTTCAGTTTTTGATTTTTTTTTTTTTTATGGGTTTATCCATACCTGCCAACTCTTCCGGATTTTCCGGAAGATTTTATTTTCATATTTAAAGTGGCAGCAATACTCAGGTCATTCCAATTAACTTTTTGAATTATAATGATAATTATAAATGAGTTTGACCACCACTACATATAAATAATTACAATAAATATATAAAAGCATAATAATCCTTGCGAAAGCAAATTTCAGCAGGATCAAAATATAAATATATTTTTCAGTCAGATTGTTTTTCGTTTATTGTTTTACAACCACTCTGAAAATCCATTCTCGGAAAGAGTGAAAGTTTGCAGGTATGGTTTATCTTATAACTTAAAGGTGTTCAAATCAAACGAGTTTTGGTACTTATCTATAAAATACCGAGGTTTGGAGAACCGGTAATAAATTACGAACAAAAAAAGTGTTTTTTAACACCCTATATCAGAAAATATAGCAATAAATGTTATAAAAAAATCCTTATATCTAAATGTGTACCCTAGGCCTAGGAACTGAAAGTGTCTCTTCAATTATTATGGGCTAGTTTATTTCAATTTTTAGTGAACAAATGGTTTTTCCAGTGTCTTTTGAATTTCAACTGTTTCATAAACACAATCTTCTAAGATTTGTGAAGTACTAATTACTAATTGATAGTTTTAACTGTTTAATGATCGGCATGCTGAACAATGTAAAATAAATTCCTTAGATATTTTTCTTGACATTCTTTAATTTTAAGCATTTGTATGAAAGTTAATGGAATTTTTAAGTATTTGCAATATATTTTGTATCAATTATATGTGAAAGATTTAAAAATGTGTATCTTTTCATGTTAGACTGTGTTAATAGCTAAACGATAGAAGTTTTTTTTGTAAATACTTTTCTTTAAAGCAGAGCATTGGTAACTGCAAAATATAATGAGAAAAAGAAACACCATTTGTAATATAATCTCCTTGTAAATAAAATTGTTTTAAAAATTTGTTCATTATTAATAATAAAACTATTAGTACATTACATTCAGACTAATCTGACGCCATTATAAAAAACAATTTGGATAAGCAACTTTTTTTTTTTATGGCTTACACTTCTCTACTATAATTGGAGAGCCTAGGTTACTGAGTGGATAGAGCATTCGCCTTCCAATGAGATG